CGCCGGCGGCGGCGGCGGTGGTGGTGCTCGTTTAAAATTCTTCATTACTGACACTGCAATGGATGGCTTCTGCGGTGGCGCAATAATTGTGAATTTTGTGAGTTTTTACCTTTGGCGGGAATTATTTTTTATTTTATTTTTTCATTTTTCATTATTGGCGGGACTTCTAGGAAAGGTGAGTAAAATAGCCTCTTTTACAAATGTTATCAATATTAGCCATTATTTTAAATGTTAGCCAATCTCTTAAAAGCTACTCTCTCTACTTCGATTTGATTGTCTAGTTTTTACTAAGCACGGAGTTTAATAAAGGAAAAAAGATTTGAAATATGAAATAGAATAGGACTAGACATAGTTAAATATCAGATAAAGTTTCATCGATCATTACATTAAATACAAATTCCTAATATCCCTAGCCTAAGTTGTGCAAACTCTTCACTTTCGAAGCAGGTGCATGAAATACACGGCTTTTGGAGAATTTGACACGGATACGTTGACATTTTCTATGAGTCCAAGCAACGACTTTAGCACAACAATGTAGTCCCTTGAACGGATGACTAGTAACACGATTGACAGTAGGAGCACGAGCCTTCGATGTTGATGATCCACCATTACATACAAAGAATGGATCTTTCAACAACTCTTCTGCAGATGGCCTAACAGATGCAGGAAGCATACACTTCTCGATAATCTCATTCAATCTTGAGTCCTTCACCTTCTCTAGAGACGCAGGCTTTACACCAGCATACACTTTCTTAAATATATGAACCTGAGTGCTGCATTCCTTATACGGATATTCACCAGTAACCATCTCGAGTAAACACATTCCAAACGAATATACATCCACTAACTCGTTGTATTCTCCATCGTAGCACTCTGGAGCCATGAATTCAGGGGTACCTTTCGCCTCTTTCACGAATAAACTACCATCTGTAATACGAACAGCCAACCCAAAATCACCAAGCTTAACTTTCTTTCCATCATCATCAACAAACACATTATCACACTTAATGTCTCTATGAATGATTTTCGGGCTCTGACTATGTAAATACCTCAACCCTTCAAGAATCTGTCTGCCCCAATTCTTGATACTCTCCAAATCACCACAAACACCAACGACATTATCTAGGTACTTTTTCAAACTCCCCGAGGGGAATAACTCTGTGATCATGTTCATAGTTTTGGACTCAGAATCAAACCAATAAGAGAAACACTTCATAACCCTTTCATGATTTAACGACTTCAACATACTAGCTTCTTCATTGAACAAATTTCCATTTTCAATTTGGTTCCACGCTAACTCAAGTTTTTCAACGCGATCCCAACCAATGTAGACTTGTTTTGAAGCTCCTACACCCAACTTATGATTGTATCTAATGTATCTACCACAAGGAGACTTCTCTACAACTCTATACGACTCGTAATTCATTGTGATACAGTAGGATGAAATTCAAGGTTGAAGAAAACAGAGATTGAAACAGAGTTACCTAGCAATTTATTGTGTTGATTGAAAAACTTTGGTAATTAAAAAAAATTATATGATGGAAGTGATGGTTGAAGGGTTAGTAATATACTATATATATACACAGATATACGTTGTAATCTTAATTGGAATATGTTACGGAAAAACTATCTTTGGAAACTTATTATATGGGATATTTAGAAGAAAAAAAACGGGTAGTAATTAATCCTACTTTGAATAGGTTTGGGAAACAAAAGTTTTTGATAACTAATAAAAAGAAGTGATTTTCGACTATTTTTGTGTAGTAATTAAGAATATTTTAGTAAATGTATAATTATTATACATTACGATATAATTAAGCCAAACACCTAATAAAGATATTATTAATCTAAATACCAACTAAATTCATCAGGTTTGGATCTATAGAAAATATTAACTAAAAAGGTAACTTGACTAAACTAGTGTTATATATTATTGGGATAACGCATAAGTATCCCTTCAACTATTATCCTTAATATAACTAGAGTCATATTATCCTCCCTAAACTATTTAAAAATGGAATAAATACACCATTAAAGTTGACGTGACATAGAGAGTTTGCACATTCTCTTGAAGGCAAGTGATGAGTGAAAAAATTGGGCACTTGTCCTTTTTTAATTGGCAACTTTATAATTAGTTAATACACAAAATTATTGATATTAATACTTATATATATTTAATTATTTTTATTTCTTTCTAAGTAAAATATTTATTTTAATTTCTTCCTCACTTTCTCTTTTTATTTTTTTCTTTCATTAATTTCTTAACTTTTCACTTTTAATTATGTTTAGAAAATTAATTGTATTTTTAAAAAAAAATGATAAACGTCCTTTAATTTTAACGTTTTATTTTTTTTTATGTTCTATTTGATTTTCTTCACCTATTTTGATATTCATTCGAAATTAACTTATTTTAAATACAAAACATTTGGAATTAAATTTGAAATCAATTCAAAAGGAAATACAATTTTTTTTAAATAAATAAAATCAATAGAAAAATAAAAGAGAAAAAACAATGAATGAAAGTAAAAAAAAATTAAAAAGTTTAAATACAATGCAAATTGCAAAAATATTCAAAGAAACTTACGTGTATTAACTTAATTTAAATACAAGATGGCAAACGCATGTGTACAAACACAACCAACTTATCTAGTTGAAGGTGTCACGTCAGCATAAAAGGTGAGCAAAAAAAAATGAAAAAAATGAGTTTTTTTTGGGGGGGGGGTTAATAGGATTGTAGTTAAGTTAAGTGTATGTCGCTGAAATTTTGGTCATAGTTCAAGGGTACTTATGCATTATCCCTTTATTATTTGATCTCCATTTAATAATATTTCTATCTAGGAAAACAAGTTTGTTAAAAATGACTTTACTAGTGAAAGTCGGGAAAACAAGTTATACAAGGACATTCTAATGAAGACATTTTATTATCAAGGATTGCGGTAAATTGTTAAGTACTTCTTCATCCTTAACCAGATGTCTCACGTTCGAGTAAACTATCACATCCAAGAAGTACTTAAGCAGTTAGAGATGGGGCTCTTCATTTATTTATTGGTTATCCTTGCTCTTTTTCCCTTTTTGTCATGGATTATGTTTCTTAGCAGGCAGGTAAAGAATTCAACTAAATGCTTTTTCTCTTTATCCGATCCTATTCTGTTTTTTAAGAAGAAAGCTGAAAAAATGTATCTGGTTAGAAATAAGAATGTGGAAATACCTGACTTGACAATGAAGAAAAATCACCTGGCCCAATAAAGTAAAACTATATCATAAAATACTAGTCCATTTTTTCAGTTTAAGTGTATATAAAAAGTACAAGCAATTTCAATCATATACTATCTATCAAGATTGTGGTTCATAATTTCACAAAAAAATGGACAAACTATCTTCTAAAGGAACAATGTTTACTAAAGAAGAAGGTAGGAGTATCCGCGGCGATGAAATATTTCCTGATGAATATCTCATCACAATTCGTCAAGCTTCAAACTCGAACTCTCATGAAATCAGTGAAAATGAGAGACAATGGCTAACTTCATTGGAGAAGAGCAGAGCATACCTTGACTCATTGCAGAATCCAAAAATTCAAAAGGTCCCAAAAATGCATCGCGATATTGAATCAAACTTAAGGTGTTATGAGCCTCTTGTGGTTTCTATCGGTCCATTTCACCATGGAAAACCAGAACTTCAACCTATGGAGAAGTACAAGAAGCTACTTGCTATTCAGTTAACTGATGAAAAAAGAGTTGAAGGCGACTTATCATGGCTTTCGACAAATTCAGTGTCTCTTGATGAGCTTTACAGAAAGGTCAAGGACATTATGCCTGTTGTCAAGGAGTGTTATGCTGAGGAATCGATCAAAGATCACAACGATGAGGAGTTTGCACAGATGATGTTCCTGGATGGATGTTTCATCTTTCAATACCTTCACTGCATTGTGACCAGTAATTATAAAGATCTGAAAATGAAGAGCCATGATATAGCTTTCATTCGTCGTGATCTGTTCTTACTTGAAAATCAGTTACCATTTGAAGTCCTGGATGTGTTAATGAGTTGTAAGCTCAAGAACAATGTAGGAATGAAGATGATAACAACGTTCATCTCGAGTGCACATACAAAACCTTCTCAACGTCAAGGATGCATTCAAAGTATCAAGGATGTCTTTGTTGATTTCTTTAGTGATCTACGTCCTGAAAGCCCTACATGTAGTGAAAAAGCTATGAACTTTCTTAGCAAGATTTGTGCAGGAGAACGTTCTGCCCTTAGCAAAGAAGAAAGCACGAAAAAAACACGGCTTCCTGCTCATCTCCTTGAGATATTAAAAACAAATCTCATAAACACAAAGGCTTTCACAGAAGGTGGATGCTATCTAAGGGGTGAGTGGTGCTCGTATCGTTCAGCTATGGAGCTACGTAGAGCAGGAATCCGTTTCAGGCCTGGAAAGAGTCGTCGTCTTTCAGAGGTTAAGTTCACTTCATTTCATTGCTCAGCTCTTTTAACACTTCCACCTATAACCATAGATGATTCAACCAAGTCACAGTTTTTAAACTTAGTCGCGTATGAAGCATGTCCTGATACACCAGATGACTTTGGAATTACGTCTTATGTTAGTTTCATGGATTCACTTATCGATCATGCTGAAGACGTGAAGGAGCTAAGATCAAAAGGTATACTACTTAACTTTCTTGGAAGTGATAAAGAAGTAGCAGATTTGTTCAATGAGTTAGCAAGAGATTTGGTGCCGAATCCACATGCCTTTGTTGATGTGAAAGACAAAATTGAGAAACATTACAATAGCAAAGGGAAAATATGGATTGCTGAATGGAATAACACTCATTTTCACACTCCATGGACTGTTTTTGCATTCATTGCAGCACTTTTTGTCATTGGTTTGCAAGTTACTGATACATTTCTAGCAGGCATCCAAACCTTTTATGCAGTCCATCCAAAAAAAAACTAGTAATGATAGGATGCAAAACCAACCACTTCAAGAATGTCATGTTTGTTGAATTTTATCATTTATTTTTCACCTTGTTGCTCTATGTCATTGATTGATCTTTGTACTCTTGTTTATGCATACAAACTAGTACTAATTTTGTTTTTTCCTTTTTTGTTTTGCTTGTGTAAACTTACTACTTTGAAGCACATGAATAGTATTGTTTTTTTAACGCTTTGATTTTGGAGGTGTTTAGTAGGGGTGTGCATCGGTCGGTTCAGTTTGGTTTTATGTGTTATTGGTTTGGTTTATCGGTTTTCGATTTGTAAATACGTCAAACCAATAACATATTTCTTATCGGTTTATGGTACTTAACGGTTCGGTTTTCGATTTAACCAATAAGAAAATACTCATATATATTATATACACGATAAGAAATTTTTCATATAAACCATATGATTTTTCCAACATTTGGCATGAAAGTAAAAATCATAAAAGTAACAACCATTTTTTTTGCAAGTTTAGACACTAGACACATTCAAAGGAAAAAATGTGAAAGTAACAATCGTTTAACCATTAACAAAAAGTGTGAAAGTAACAATCATTTAACCATTAACAATAAGACTAGTAAATTTAGTATATTCTTATTGGGTTATCAGTTTAACCATTAACAAAAATCATAAAACCAGAAACCGAACCAATAACCCAATAAAAAAATTTGCAAAACCGTTTAAAAACCGTTAGCCCAATATCAATAAACCAATAGTTTTTTTTGGTTTGGTTTATTGGTTAAATCAGTTTTTGCACACCCTTAGTGTTTAGATGATTATATTGTAAGTTGGAGTGTTCAACTGACAGAGTGAAGACGAGTTGAGATGTTTAGATGTGCATACTCAGTTGGAGCGTTTACTTGTCATCTTAGGCTAACTTTGAGTGTTTGTTTATGTATTAAGCTTCTTTTATGAAATTGATTTACTGAGACCTTTAAATTACTATTCAGATAAATAATATACTGATCAAGACTACTATGATCATTAGACCAGTTGACAATATTCTTCTAACTAATCGAAAGATCAATCTCATTTCTGAGTAGTAGTCTAAGTGAACTCGTTTGGTATGGGGGATGGGATAAAAGAATCCCGAGACTAACTAATACCTCTAACCAAACACATGATAAAATAATCCTGCATTTTATCGCGGAAACGACTTCTTGATTGATACCTCTGATTAAAGACCTCTGCATCATATGGATTGATACCTCTGCATAATGATTTTCTTCAAGTAGAACAGGAATTTTTTTTGTTGCAGATAACAGAATATACAAGACTTGATATCAGAGAAAACTTTATACTAAAGTATAATATATAAGCTATAGGATACCTACTACTATTTTCACTCTAAGTATCCAAAAAGCCACCTATAAAAAAATTAGAACTATACACTAGTAAATGACTAGTATTTTATTGATAAAACTTCGTTTTAGAATATCTAATTCATCTAAACTCAGTACTTTCGATGCAAAACATAAATTATATAAGGTCAGAACCCATAACTTTAAAACTACACCGAGTTCAATGCTAAGAATCTTAAAGATTGAACTCGTAGAATTTAAATCCTGAATCCGCCTCTGACAGATCACTTATACAACACAATCATGAGAGATCTAAGGGTAGAGCTCAATGATAGATTTCAAACCAAGAGTCAAAGTAATTTTGTAACTAGTAAAACCAGAATCTAAGAAAAGTTTCTCCCATTCTTTCTTGTTCCTCTCTTTGCTACCCACAAAAACCATCATCAACATGTCTATGAAGAGCTGTGCTTGGACAGATTCATCATCCAATTCTGGATTTTCCATCACCATGTCTATAATTATAACTTTTCCACTTCCTGTTTTTGCCTCCTTGCAGTTCTTCAAAATTTTCACACATTCTTCATCATTCCAATCATGCAAAATTGACTACAAAATTAACATGTCCAAAAGTTAATTAGAGAAGTGACAAGACTAGTATTCTCGTAGTTTCTTGTTCGTCAATTGATGCTATTATCTATGTTTCATGAGCTTCAGTTATTTCACTAGTTCGTTGTTGTTACTGTTCTTTCTCTGTATGCTATGTACTATTGCTTTTCATAACGCTATATGTCATTGTTGTAGCTGCTTTCATTTATGTATTCTCTTTTTCAAACTGTTTTGAGATGTTTTACTTGATCCGAGGGTCTATCTTTACGAGGTAGGGGTAAGGTTTTTCTACACAATACCCTCCTCAGACCTCACTAGTGGATTACACTGGATATGTTGTTATAGAGAAACTAGTAATACAGGGGAATTATTAGCGAAAAGTGTAGTTTATTTACCTTGAGTAAGACAGCATTAGCAGGGGGGATTTTCTGAAACATATCCCCTGCTACAAACTCCAAGTTTTCACTTCCCTGCAAGTTAGCCACAACAGGAGGAAGATCAAGAACAATACATTTCATGTCAGGGAAACTTTTAGCTATGGACATTGCGACAGTTCCAGTCCCTCCTCCAACATCCACTAAAGATGGCAATCCTTCGAACACATCCTTAAACTCGTTGCCAATCAAGACGTTCATGAATGATCGCGAATCTCTAGACATGTTTTCGTTAAACCAACTACCAGTACTCGGATCACTCGAAAGTTTACTCCAGAATAAGTCTCCATATGCTGTATAAAATGCACTAGGATCATCATTCTTGAACCAATCACCTAAACAATTCCATGCTTTAAAGAAAAAAGTATCTTGATCTTCCATCGAGTTCCATGGTCCGTCCTTCACTACATAACGATCAGCTGGTGCAAGCGAATAACACCCTTTATCATCATCAACGTCGTTATCATCATGTTTTTGTAGAATCAAGAAGCCATAATGAACTAATATTCGTGTAAGGCGGTGAAAATAGGGAAATTTTGAAGGGCTAATAGGGAGGGAAGACATGAGTTTTGATATTGTCATTGGTTTGCCATGTTTGGTGATGACATTAGGTATGTCCAATTGAAGTGCACATTTCAATGTTACATGTTCTATGAAGAAATAGAGTTGGTTCCATGACTGTGTTTCAGCTTGAAGAAGCTCACTAGGAGTAAGGTTCTCACTATGATCAGCCATGTAAAAGTTACAACAATCTGTGGAAAAAATTGTGAATTATTTTTCTCAGAGTCGGACTACGCCTTTGTGATGAAAGAGGGAGGAAGGACGGATCACGTGATCAGAGAACAACTATACCTGAAGAATTAATATACACTCATTGTTTGTCTAGACTTTGCAGCTATGTCGCTCAGACTCTTAAAAAATGACAAGGGGTGCATGTTGGATCCTAGAAAATAGTGCTGATCTATCGATCTGACATGGTGCAACAACATTTTTAAAGAGTTTGAGCAAAAGAATACTTATTGGACAAATATGCCTTAGTTTGGAGCAGAAGATGCTATTGTGCCTCCCTTTTGTTTATTTGTATTTGGAACCATTATTGTCCAAGCAGTCCAAGCCACTTGAGAGAAATGATAAATATTTAAACTGTGATTGGCATTCATGAGAAGAATATTTGTTTTACCCTTATGGCTTTTGCATTTGGTTCTTCAACATTTTTATAAAATATACTAGCCGTCCCACCACCAGCACGAATCTTATTTCGAAGCAATCTCTCGAGTTTTTCCTTAATCCGAATATCCTAAGCATACATAGTTTGACCCCTTCATGAAATTGTTGATAATGTAAATTTGGACTAAACATTATTCCTAATATGAATAGTTTATAGATGGCAAGTGATTGTATGTTTTTCACACACAGTTATTAAACAAATATCGAAGCCAAATTTACATGACATTTCATATAACTAGTAATTCCAAAGTGAGTCTTTAACCAAACGAGCAGTAAATCACAAGAATTTCAGCCATATGGCCTGGCATTATTCTATAGAACATTTACCGACTCCCTTTAAACGAGTCGAAGAGAAGAAGGAAGGCAAGGAAATGGAAAAGAAACGAACTAGTATGGTTCGTTCATCTTCTTTTTGTCAATAGAAACTCAGGTTTTTGTGTCAATAACCTCAAGAGAGTTGTTTTGGTGAAGATCATTTTCTTCGGACCAACGATGCTATAATCCCACCAGCAATGAGTCCTACAGTGGTCACAGTAATTCCTATACCAATGACACCATCTGCATTGCATAGACACAAATGAATCCAATTTGGTATACTGTTATCCAAAATCGAGCAAGCAAGGGAAAAAGTCTCGGGTCATTACCTTTAGTTATTCTATCTTTGATAGCCTTCTTAAGCGATAAAGCTTGTCTCCAATCAGGTGCAATCTAAAGGGAAGAAAAAATCTTTAAGCAAAACTAAACAGGGTGGTAGAATTCTGATCGTCTCAAATGATCGATAAATAACAAGTTGACTAGATATCTGAGTGAGTAGAGAGTTCACAGCAAACGACTAAGAACAGTAAAAGGATTAGGACCAAACCTCTAGACATTGAACTGTAAGCTCTCTGCTCCTTGAATATTCCCCACTTCTGTAATATCCAACAGCTAAAAGATAAAGCTTTTCTCGCTGCTGTAGTGGACTACTTGTGTTGGCAAGTGAAGCTGGAGAAGAAAAAGAAGATGCAAAAGAGATGATGGTCTTTATAGATCGAACCTTCAAGGATGTTATTCATTAGACACATAAACATCCAATCAAAAACAAAAATAAAAAAATTTTAAGCAACAAAGGCCCAAAAGAGTTGAAAGTAACACTACCAGGAACCAATGAACAAAATCAGAGTAATTTTGTGATGATTCAACAGTAACATGATTGTAGTAATCCGTTACATGTTCTTGACTCTATGAACTTTACTTCCTAAGACCATTTATAAGGAGCTACTAACACTACAAGAGAAACAATAGAAATTGTCTCAACAATGTCCTTCAAGTATGGGAACTTCATGAATGTGTGTTGCTTTAGAATTTCAAAGACAAAGAAGAGCATCAGGCGTATATGTCGATGAATATGGAAACTAGGAGTTAAATGATGAAAATAGATAGTCGATGGTAGTATCACAATTCACAAACATTACTAGATATGTAGAAGCAAGTCAAGCAACAATGTGTAACATAAAATAGGAAATAGATCTGACTAATTTTCACCCTCAAGCATAGCGATCCCTCGTTGCACATCTTCAGGTTGTTTAGAATGAACAAGAGCCCATGACAATCTCATAATACTCTCATTCTTTCCTTCATCTGAGGCACCTTTGTTAGCATCTGCAACTTCTCTCTCGCAGCCCTATCAATATGCATAGGCACATAAGATTAAGCACCAAAAGCAACATAGTACAATTATCGCTTCATTTTTTGCTTCTCAATACAAGCCAATTCATTCAACTTCTCTCTTGTATTTTATCTTAAATTAGACCAAATAAGTTTTATATGTTCAGAGATTCATAAGAACTAACAAGTAAGGCCACTACTGCATGCTGATATAACGAAAAGCACCACTTCATCTTTACAAGTAACAACATTAAAATGGCTAACACACAGTGTCTCCAATGCAAAACTTCAAATTCACTAACAAGAACGATATCAACCAACGGACTCTTCCTTATTAATAACACAATTTTCTGCTGTTAATTAGAAAAACAGATCTTTCCTCAAAGTTCCTGCAGCCTAAAGCAACATATTTCTCATCAATTCTTTATTCTCAATAACAAATTATTTCGATGTTGGTAAAAATCAAAACTTTCTTCATAGTTTCTGCAACCCAAAGCAACAGTGTTCTTAATATAATGGTCAAATCATGCAAAAGACTATATAAGGGAATGTCCAACTGCCAACTAGCATGTTTATGACAATGAAAAGCCAAGCTACCGGCTTGGTCGAAACAGTTAGCTTTTGCTCAAACAGTATATCCGTATTAAAAAATTCATTAAATATGTACACGTATTAAGAATCCAATCACTAGCCCTTGAAGTCTGCTTTCTAAATATCAATACCATAAAATTAAAATCTTAGCTCCAACCACAACCACCCACTATTCAACAAAACTCATACTCTCTGCCTTTAACTTGGCACGGAGTTCTAAATTACTTTTTTTTCTTCTTAATATTATGATCTTAAACTAAAGATACGAGCCTTGTGTTCTTAAGTAAATATACCTGAAATTACTGGAACCCCAAAATCCCAAATCATTAAAAACATGAAATATGAATGTAAAGATCAATGCTTTAATGAAATTTATAAGAATGGGTCATTCAAGAAAACTTACAACTACAATGTCAGGTGAGGTCCAAGGAAGCTGGTCCCCTCCATTGATGAATGTAACAATTGGCCCAGAGAATCGGTTGATTTTTACCTCCATTTTCGATTCTGGGGTTTGTAAATTGTAATCCACCAATTTCAAAGCCCTAATTAGCGTTAATGGTGGAGCTCAAAATGGAAAAACTGATATTTGGGGAAGAAACTGATTTTTTTGCAAATTTTCCGGAAATTACAGTTCACTTTATTGGTTCTAATTTTAAGCATCATGTAGGTAAAATTGCTTATACTTGTTCAACTAATTATTTCAAATAATAAAATTATAATTTTATAGATTTGTTGCTTATTATTGTAAAATATCAACCAAGTTGTTTTGGTTTCTTGAGATTTCGATTAGTTTTGGCATAAGACATAGATAAACATTTTGGTTTCAAGTTAAGCGCTCCAATTTTGAGAATGCATATTAAGACACCTCAACTTGTTCCTACTATATCTCGTGAACATCTGACGCTTGCGTGACACATAAATTTTGAAGGGGTTTAGACGATCATTTTGTAAGTTAAAATGTTCAACTGACACGAGATGAGTTGAAGTGTCCAAAAATTAAAATGTTCCTCTATGTATTATGCCTAAAAAAGTCCGACTTTTGATTAACATGTATTTCATTAGTTATATCATACAATAACAAATTCTTAACATAACATCAAGAAATGCTCTAAAACTAAGAAATAGTAAGTGATACTAGTGTATTTCCATTCATTATTAATTAATTATTTCCATTTATCTCACCTTGTTAAAGAATCAACATATAGAGAGGGAATTTTAAATGTTTAAATTAAAGTAGAAGCTTTTAGAAATAAATCAACCAAATGCTAAAAAAAGTTTACTTTGGGGCTTGGTAAACTTGTATGCCTTTTTATAGACAGGTTGGAATAAAAGGTTCAATTCTAATAAAATGTCTTTTAAATTTTAGTTTTTTTATAAAGTGCCTTTTTTTTTTTTCTTTAATAAAGTGCTCTTTTGTTAGAGAAGTACAATTGTTCTTCATTGAAATTTTTTATGTCTCAGTTTTCAAAATAAGTTTATGTTGTCTTAGGTCATTCCATCAACTACTTTCAAAATTTTGGATTGAACGCTCAGATTCTTTCATACAACAGCCGCTGCTGACAGCACTCCACTGCTATCGTCATGTACATGGTACAACAGGAAGAGAATTAGCAGAAATCGAAAGGTTTTTACCCAAAACTCCGCTCTGATACCTCCTAAAGCGAAATAGGCACGCGCACGGGTAGAGAGTTTGCCTGAGTCGTGTGGCCCCAGGTAACACCTAGTTTAGTGTAGCACCTGGGTTCCGCCTTCTCCTTGTCGAGTTTTGCTTCTGATCTCTCTCTGAGTCTCTAGTTCGTTACCTTGTCTCAAAGCCAAATTTCGATAAGCTTGTTTACATATATATGTTTCTAGTTATGTTCTCTAAACATGTTCGGATTCTTTCATATGTATCAAAGATAATGAATCAACAACCCCACGTGTAATCCATAAAGATGTTAGAGAAATACATTTATTCTTGATCGTACAAGATTTTCATAAAGGGGTTTATAATATCGCGGGCCAATTCACTCATGGCTTAAATTTTTGGATTGAATACTCATTATTTTCTCTTTTTGACAAACCTTACCCTCAATTAGAATGGAACATTAAGTACATATTTTGGCCTACAAGTTAGGTGTTCAAATCTTGTCCAAAGTTATGCTAGCCAAACAATTAATTTCTGGTACAATAATGAGGTTTTGGCCTTGTGGACCAGACATAATGATAGATTTCTAATGTATTACCACCATCCGTAGGATGTCTTTATGCACCTCTCATTTTCATCTTTTTCTTCCTTGTCCAGAGTGATAGTTACTGTTCAGCATCTTCTCAGTTGTCAATTTGAAAATTCATAATTTGAGTTTTAAGACCAAACAAATACGCAAACATCTAGACACCTCAACTCGCCTCCGTTGTGTCAGCTGAACACTCCAACTTACAAAATAATCATCTTGACACTGAAAAAATTCATGTGTCATGTCAGCATTGAGTGTCCCAAGACACAGTAGGGACGAATTGGAGAGTTTAGTTGCTAGTTGAGATCAAGTTGAGGTGTCTAATGTGCAGAGTGTATGTTTATGTATTCAACTTGTGGTACTTCGATTAATTTCACGAGAACCTGCTACCTCCCACCATCACAAGTACTAGCTAATTCTATCTATCGAAGTTTTTCATAGATGTAAAGAAACCACCTAGTGTTTTTGCCATGAAGAGCATAAGAAGCCAGTAAAGGATGTGAGCCTTTCAACCACAACAGTGCCTTCTACTTGAATCAGTGTTACTATTGACTTCTGACCAACTTCAAGTTTTTATATCAAAAAACACTAACTTGCTGATATATTACCAGCTTACATACACCCCACAAAAATATGGGAAAGCTTTAAAGCAACTCATCAACAAATCCATTTTTTATAAAAGAGGTGTCTGGACTGGTCTGTGTGCACCTCGACTATTTCACCAGGTACGTACTACAACATCCCACTAGCACATGTATCAAATAACTCATCCTCACCAAGGCTAAGGCAAATGGAAAGGACTCACGTGTCGTTATTTGTCTGAGAACTCAACAAGCAAATTAATAGAAATTCGTACAGTGCAAGAGGTCTAGAACCAATGGAGCATCAATCTATGAAAGCAAAGGATGGTGTGGATAAAAGCATTTACTTTCTTAATATACCAAACAAAACATGGAAACATCTGCACCATAAAAACAGAAAATAATACAAAAGCAGAACGAAGTCGCCTAGCCCTGAATATTATGACATAAGAGCTTGACAGTCATCTTGTTAGAACCATGTATCCTCAAAATCATAAGAAGAGAACTTTCAATTCAGTTCAGTCTGAGAAAGAGACATTACCTTCCGGAAAACATTATCCGTAGAATTCGTTTCTGCAAGTCTTTTGGACTTCACCACCACTTGAGGTTGCCAAATGGTCTGACATGCAAGATAGAACATGTGGAAAAGAGAATAGCTAATAAATCTACTCAAAGAGACAAATCACTCTATCATAGAAAGAAATCTACAGATATTATCAGTCATTCTTAACTGATGAAGTTGCACCATGTTAGTAAATGATAGACATCTACAGATAAATACTTCTCTCCTTTAAGAATAGTATATTGTGATTCAATTTCAGTCCAAATCTGTCTGAACTAACTCAAGACCTAATCGGAAAAGTTGGTTATCTTCAGACTGTAGATTGGCGTTGTACTTTCTCTCCAACAAGCAGCTTATCAAGTTAATATGTCGTAATGCATAGAATATTATATCAACAATGCAAAGTTAATAGCATCCAAATAGAGGTAGTAAACCAAAGAAGGATTTCCAAACATGAATCCATGAGCTTAAAACAGTTGATACTACATGCTGCAGAACAAACTTGTCGAAATCTTACCAATGGTATAAATCTCTAAGAGTCCCACGAATACCTCCACTCAAAATAGAAGAAACAATAACATTTCCATATCACATATTTGTTCAGAACTGGGCAAGCAAAGAAGAACATACTGCAGACTGCAGAGATTTTATTACTTTCGAGTTGTTCAAAAAGAAAATGAACATGAAATTTTCCAAGGCTAGAGAATATGGATACTTGAAATCGGTCTACAAGAGGACACTGCACATTTCAATATCAATACATAAGTAGTAACATAAATTCATAGACCTTGAATAAAATAGTGGATGCATGTACATGACAAATGTGAATCAATATTCACGGGCAACAGCCAGTGCATCGAATCAGTCCATTTTCATTACAACTGGGGCACCTCCTCAACTTCCCTTCCTCCTCTTCAAATACTTTTCGACTTCCATTGCAATTTGGGCAGGGTACAAACCTTGCATCGCCACAGCTTCCACAAACAAAACCAGAATGCTTTACTGCAAAGCCTTCCACGAGCTCAGCCAGTTCTCCAGCCTCATGAAGTTGCTTAATCTCTTCTGCACCACCAATGTACTTTCCTCCAATAAACACTTGAGGCAAGCTAATCACTTTTCCTTCCAAAACGCTTTGCAACTCTTTCCTATATGATGAATCCATAGATACATCTCTTTCATCCACACACACCCGAAAACCTCTAAAGATCGTTCGCACTGTGCAGCATTCTTCATAAGTCTTCCTGATTCCTCTTAAACTAGTAAAATATAGAACAATCTTATCCTCTGTACCCTTTAAATGGACATCATTATTGGGCAACAATGAGCTCAATAAACTTGCATTACTTGACTCTAGCTCTATCGTACTAACAATTTCAGGCTGTATTTTATCCTCCTTACCCTTTAAATGGAAATCATTTTCAGCCAACAAACTTGTGTTACTCGACTCTAACTCTATCGAACTAACAATTTCGGGCTTTGGACAATCTTCTGATTCTTTGTACACAAATCTTTTGGAAGACAATGCTTGTCTATAGCTTGAAGCTACATTAGGATCCATTTTAGCAAGCAATTGTTCCTCAGACAAATGCTTCCATAACGGCTTTGAATCCGAGTGCTCAACAAACTCATAGGTTTTTTCCAACTCACTTGTATCCAATTCACTATGGATATCAAGACTCTTAGACTTAACCTTTCTAGGGGACTCAATCTTGGACTGCACCATATGGAAATCAAAGTCATCAAGTCCTTCCATGAGCTCCCAAGTGTTGATTACTGAATCAGGAGATAAAGGGTCTTGTGGTTCAGTCCCATTTAGGGATTTTGTCATTTGGGTAGTAGGGTTCTTGAAATTTCCATCATGGAAATTAGGGTTAGGGTTAGGGTTTGGAATTTGGGGGTCAATTAAAACAAGGGAACCATAAGTAGTGGAAGTAAGAGAAACCAAATGATTTGTATCTCCTTTGCACATAGCAGGATGATGAACCAAAGGAGTTGGAAGAGAAAGGGTTCTTGAAACTGGAGTTGAAGATGAATCTGAGTATGAATATGGAGATTGTGAATGTGAAGAAGATGAATAATTCCATGGATTTTGTGGATCTGTTGTAACAAAGTCATAGGAACGAGAAGCTGAACACCCCATTAATGGATTAATCAATAAAGATTGAATCTTTTGAACTAAATCCAAACAACACAAATAAAAATGAAATCTTTGAACAGAAATCAAGAACCCACAGAAAAAAAATGAATCTTTTCAGCTCAAAACAACAACTTAACAGTAGAAAATGAAATCTTTGAACAAAAAACAAGAACCCCACAGAAAGAAATGAATCTTTTTACCTCAAAACAACACCTTAACACAAAAAAATGAAACTTTTGAACAAAAAACAAGAACCCCACAGCAAAAAAAATGAATCTTTTTAGCTCAAAACAACACCTTAACATAAAAAAAATGAAATCTTTAAACAGAAAACAAGAACCCCACAGAAAAAAATGAATCTTTTTAGCACAAAACAAGTACTCAACAGAAAAAAATGAACTTAATGAGCAGAAAACAAGAACTTAATGGACAAAAACGAGGTCGTTTTAGCAGGAACAAGAAGAGAATTTTTTCAACAGAAAGCAAGAATTTAGTAACAGAAACATTTAAATCTTGTGGCAGAAAACATTGAGGTGAAAAGACAAAGAAAATGAAAATCTTTTAGCAGAAAGCAGGAGATTTTACAAGGGAAAAAAGTGATATTTTTGACAGAAAGAAGAAATTCTTTTTGGGATAAAAGGGACTATAGATGTCAAAGTACAGTTGGGAAGATGATGAATTGAATAACAGAAAAGATTGAAAATAAATGCAAGTTATAGTAGCTTTGGGAAGTTAACATACTAACAGCCAACTTTCAAACTTTAGTTAATTAAATGAATAGTAATATAGTAAATCTTTCTATAACATGATTTTTTTATAATAACATTTCACAGAAATTATGATCAATAATAATATTTCGTTATAACAATAAAAAAGTATCGACACAAAGGATGTTGTTATAAAAAGTTTGATGGTATTTTAGAAATACCAATAATAGTTATGATAGAGAGATAACATTGATGAGTACTCCTTCCTTCTTAATCAGAAATTTCGAATTAAAATTCTAGATATGAAATTACATTTGCTTGAAAGCTTTGTGCAATAATTTTTTAACTCGAATTTCATGAGAGAAATTTCTTACGAAGTAAAATCTTTTTTTAAAAAAAAAAAGAAAAAAGAAGAAGATTATTATAAGTATTTAAAGAATATTTTCTTGTTTTAACTGCCTAAGCAATCTACCTATGACTAATTCAGATGCACTTATTAAGGAAAAATCTTAGGAAATGAGTACTATTATAATATATGGATAAAGTCAAGTGTTTTATGTTGAGAATATTATTGCTTTCTTGAATCATTATTTTGTTAAATTTTATATTAACATCACCCTGCAAAATAAGTTAATTTAATGCAGAACAAAAAAAAACCAAAAACATGTCAGATGTATAAAATATAAGGGTTAATGACATTTATTATTAATCAAAAAATTTGATTTAGTTACAATGATATCTTACTTACAACATTAAACCTTTAGTTAATTGAGTTGGTGCACTTTTGATCTCTCTGACAGTTCATATGTGTTATGTTATTTGTCACTTTATACTAACGATAATATATTTATTTATATATAAATAGTCAAACATAACATATTTTCTAACTAAAAGCCCAAAAATCATATTTTAATGAGAAAAATTGAGGAGCTAACGTAATAGATATAATAAGATTCTATAAATATAGTTTTGATAATTGTGCTTCATTGTTATAGTTATGTTTGCTATAGAGGTTGTGATTGTATATTTCTGTTCGTTTTTATATTTCGATTGCGAATATATAACTAGGATAAGTATATATAAAGTATGTATTTATATATTTAGCAATTTTTCAGAACTCCGTTTGTATATTTCGCTTGCAAATATACAAACATGGTAATTTATTATGAATTTTTCATATATCGTATACAAATAGTTAGGATAATCATATATAAAATTCTGAATTTATACAATTATAAACTGAATCATACAAATTCCAAATTTATACAAATTAGATAAATAACAAGATTGGTAGAACAATAGCTGCAAATTAGAATTTCCGTAAACATTAGCTATTCTGCCTAAGTTTCCCCATCTTAATTGATTAAAAATAAGACTGAATCATATATCACAAAATCAAATACATAATTAATCAATAACTTTAGGGACTAAAAGTGTTATTATTCATAAAATATAATTTAGTAATGGCTGTGGGGTTTATAACCACGTTTCATTTAATGTTAATTATTACTAAATCCTTAATTAATACCCCCTCCGTTCCATTTTATATGTCATCCCTTTCTATAAATAGCTGGACCACAATACTTGTCATTTTATAAAATTTATGCATAAATTACCATATTTTACCTACTATGCCCTTGATAGAATAGTTAATTAATCTTGTCATTTATTAATAAAGTTAACTTAAGAAAATATTAAATAAGGGTAGAAAAATAAAATTACATCATTTCTTGATGCAATTGCAAAGTAAAAATGTGACATATAAAATGGAGTGGAGGAAGTATAATACAAGTATTGAGCAACTGTCAGAAGAAAAAAGTAAGCATTGATTAATGATTAAGCTAACACCATGTGAACTCAATTGTTTACCAATTTCTTTCTCCGTCTCATATTAATTGATTACTTTATTTTTTATAGGTATATTAAGAAATCATGAATAAAAAGATAATTTTACTAATTAATCCCTTAAAAATGTCCTGAAATTTTTACAAATAAATGTGAACACATTTTTTTAAAAAATTACAAGAATAATATAGAAAAAATTTAATTAATTTTCTGGATTTCTCTAATATGAAACAACTATTTTTAGTATTGGATAGAAGGAGCATAAGCACACGATTTCATTAATTATCAATTAATAGAAGACCATTTCTCCACTCCATTCTTGTTTAATGAATATCATTAATTTCTAATCTAATATGCTATTTTATTGGATTAGATATATCAACCTAATAAATGGAAAAGTGAGTACTAGACTACTAGTTATTGTATTATTAATGCAAAATATATATTATATATACACAAAAGTTCAGACAAAAACTATTTGATTCACGTAAACCTATATATATTACTCTGATACATTGAAGAACAGAAAACAACGATTAAATTGGGCTTGAACAACATACATAAATAAAATTTACAAAATAATACAAGATTAAATACCACATACTTTATAATTAAAGATTTGTAATTGAACTTAAGCAAACTTAAGAAGCTCTGGATCTCTTTCAAATATAGCCATATCTTGTTCATCCAACATGACTATAACTTCAACTCCACCTCCACTTTGGTTATCCAATAAATAGAAGAGCAACTTTCCCATATAGCAAACACAAAATTCATATTTGTATGCTATAGCAAAGTTTGCATAATTGCGCTCCATAGCAAACATAAATATGCATATTTCGCTATACATATACAAAAGAAAGCAGTTGTATAATCTGCTTTGGTATACATATACAAAAGATCAATTGTATAAAGTGAGAGAGGTGAGTGAGCGAGCGAGATCTGGGAGAGGAGAACGAAAATATATGTATATATACAATTTTCATGCATTTTA